CTAGTTGCGGCATGTGGGACGCTGCCTCAGCGTGGTCTGATGAGCAGTGCCATGTCCGCGCCCAGGATTCGAACCAACGAAACACTGGGCCGCCTGCTGCGGAGTGCGCAAACTTAACCACTCGGCCACGGGGCCAGCCCCGGGTTGATTCATTTTTAGAGGAGAGGGAGTGAGGCGGGAAGTTGGCGTGGTTGTGTTCAACTACAGTGTCTGTGGCCAGTCCTTGTCTTGAGAACCCTGACTAATGTATCAGGGAATAGATATTTTATTATCTGTTATAACTCTGTGGTTTCCTTGTCTCTAAATAGAAAGATAGAAAAGTCTTTGTAGGATGAAAAAATATATGGTTCATAAGTCCATGCCAGCAATATAAGAAAAAAATATTACTAATTAGTTTATTAATTGACTGATTAATAATTACAAGCTTAATGTGTGCTTGTGGGTTTCCAGCAAGAGAGCCTCTGATGGCTGTGTTTGCACAGAGGACTGGCACATGGGAGACGAAGGAGACTAGGATGACCTCCAGGGGTCCAGGAAGTGTGATAGGAAGACGGTGATAACTAAGGTGGTGAGAGTGAGTGAGACCGCTCAGGGATAATGCACCTGTAATGTGTAGGATGACAACAGAAGATGGTCCAGGATGGAACCTCAGAGCCCAGCCAAGAATTTAAGGTAAGGCAAGTGAGAAGGAAGAGTTATAGAGGTAGGAGATATTGGTGGCAGTGAAGCCAAAGGACAGTGTTTCAAGAAGGGACTGGTCAGCATGATCAAGAGAGATGACAATTGAAAAGTGTTTACTGAGACGTAAAATAATTATTTTTCTTTATTATGGCTGTTTAGGAAACCCAAAGTAATCAACTGGAAAACAATTTTAATGAATAATCCTTTGGGGGCTGGCCCTGTTGCCGAGTGGTTAAGTTCACCCACTCTGCTTCGGCGGCCCAGCGAGTCGCTGGTTCGGATCCTGGGTGCGGACATGGCACTGCTCATCAGGCCATGCTGAGGCGGCTCCCACATGCCACAACCAGAGGCACTCTCAACTAGAATATACAACTCTGTACTGGGGGGCTTTGGGGGGAAGAATAAGAAGATTGGCAACATGTTAGCTCAGGTGCCAGTCTTTAAGGAAAAAAAATATTTCGGTAAAGTGGCCAGTTTCAAAATAAACATGCAGAGAGCCATAGACTTCTTATCAACCAACAAGAACCAATTAGAAAACGGTATGGAACAGAGGACGCTATTCACAGTAAAAACCCCTTTATACCTTGCCCGCAAGACCCTACGTGATCTGTCCCCTGCTACCTCACTTGCTTCATCTCTTATTCTTGTTTTTATTGAGGTGAAATTCACGTAACATAAAATTAACTATTTTAAAGTGAACAATTCGGTGGCATTGAATACATTCACAATGTTGTGTGAACACCCCCTCTGTCTAGTTCCAAAACACTCTTATCACCCCAGAAGGAAACACATTAAACAGTAACTTCCAATTCCCCACTCCCTTCCGCCCCTGGTAACCACTATTCTGTATTCTTTCTCTATGACTTGACTATTCTAGGTACCTCATATAAGTGGGATCATACAATATTTATCCTTTCGTGTTTGGCTTCACTTATGGTGTTTTCAAAGTTCATCCACGTGGCAGCAAGTATCCAACTTTTCTTCCTTTTAATGACTGAGTAATATTCCACCTTTTGTTTATCCAGTCTCCAGTTGTCGGACATTTGGGTTGTTTCCAAATTTGGCAATTGTGGCTAGTTTATTGTTCTTCCTTCATTCACCAACTCCAAGCTCCCTTGCCTTCCTCCTAGTGCTCAAACTTGTCAAGCTCATTTCTGCCTCAGGACCATTACACTTGTTATTCCTCTGTCTGGAATTCTCTTCCCCCAGATTCTCCATGACTCTCATTCTTATCCTTGCAGCTCAAATGTCACATCCTCCGAGAAGCCTTCCCTCCCTGATCACTGTATTTAAAGTAGCTGAACTCTCAGTCACTTTTTATCCCATTATCCTATTTGATTGTCTTCATAGTATGTATCACTATCTGAAATGAATAGGAGGTAGTGTGTAGACCAGGGGTTGTATGCGCCTTTGGCCTCCTTAGCAATCTAGTGAGGCCTATGGGCTCATTCTCAGAATAAAATTTTTAAATGCCTAAAATACACCAATTATACTAAAAATACAGTTACAGAAATATTTTAAAATTGCTATTTAGCAATCCATGTCCTTCTCTATTAATTCCTAAAATAGTAATATTTATATGCAGGTCTAATAACTATCAAAATTTAGAAGTTGTGACAAGTAAATGATATTTTGAGATATTTGCAACAACTGTAATAGGAAATTACAAAAATATTGGTGATTTCTGTTGGTTGTGAAAGCACAGGTACTGCTAAAATTCCTGTAGATTGTTACCTATGTTCGTACCTGAAGAAACTGCTAAACCTCAGTTCAAGCTTAGTGAAAAAGATGTGGCTTTTTTCTATCCAAGTTCATGCGTCCTATGAGTTCTATCCATAGACCCCCTGGAGGTCCGTGGACCCCAGGTTAGGAACTCCTGCTCTGAAAAGTAAAAGATAAACAGTAGTGATGAGGAACGGGAGAGTATGCTGGAGCTGGGTTTTGTAGGAGATTTAAGAGATCATAGCAAGCCAGGGAATAATGAGCTAAGAAGAAAGTTGTCCTCCCTACCCCTCCATGGAACTCGGGTGTGAGAGATGTAGAAATTCCCAGTTGAGAAGGATATGAGGGAGAGTCAGATATCACTTAGAGGAAGGAGGCATTTTGTGAGAAGGTTGACTATAGGAGCAAGGGCTTTTGCTTATCGTGGACTGGAATCCAGCGAATGCAACAGAGTGTGGTGGAGGAGATGGCCACCGCGGGAAGATGAGCCATTGGGAGTGGGGGTGAAACTCTTACTGTATTCCAGATACCGTACTGGATACTGAGGACACAAAGATGAATAAGACAAAGATGACTCACCCATTTAGGATTAGTCTACATGAAATCCTGTTGGTTGATTGGCTGGTTTGGCTGGTCTGATCCATGCACCTCTTCAGAGACCCTAAGAGCCAGAGGCGGCAGCAGAAAGATAGGCCCAGGGTATCACTAGAGATTCAGGGGGGAACAAAAAGCTAAAAATGTCCTCTTCTCTTTCCTCCTTTGATTTCTTTTGCAGAACGAAAAATAAAGTAAAAAAGGTTGGGGCCGGCCTGGTGGTGTAGTAGTTCAGTTTGCACACTCCGCTTCAGTGGCCCAGGGTTTAAGGGTTTTGATCCCAGGTACGGACCTACATACCTCTCATTAAGCCATGCTGTGGCGGCATCCCACATACAAAAATAGAGGAAGATTGGCACAGATGTTAGCTCAGGAACAATCTTCCTCAAGCAAAAAGAGGAAGATTGGCCACAGATGTTAGCTCAGGGCCAATCTTCCTCACCAAGAAAAAAAAAGTTAAGTAATGGAGAAAAAAAATGAAGCAGTGCCTTGATTAGATAATTCAAATGAGCCAATCATCCAAAAATTAATTAGATTAACCTAAGAGATGCATCCTCCTCCCTCACTCCTAATTCTTCAGGAACCTTCTAAGGATCTCTGCAACCAAGAGATTATTTAATGCTATTACCCTTCAGAACAATATTTGGCTCAGAGGGATCAAAGAAAGAAAGAAAGGACCGTATTTTTGGATTTTTCTCTGGGGTTGCAGAGATACCCTGCACCTGGATCTCTCCTCTGTATGTAGGTCTCAGAATATAGGATTCTGTGATTCATTTTTTAAAAGCTATTTTCCCTTCTCTACTAGGGGGATCTTTCAAAAAGGCCTAAGTTGGGGGCTGCTGCAGGTGGGAGGCAGTGGCTGGGCCCTGCTCCTCTTTTGATCATCTTCCCTTCTGGCAGTGGTATCTGCAAACTCACGGCCCCTGGGCCAGATAATAAACCTCTTCTAGCTTGAAGGGAGGAAGCCCCGGATGGAGAGGCAGCGAACAGACAGGGAGGTGAGAACAGAGGCACGGCTGAAGCTAAACTGACCTAGTTAGAGCAGAAAGAAGCTGCAGGGGCGGCAAGAATGGCCGAGAAGAGAAGTTTCCCAGGACAGGGAGGAGCAGAGGACTGACTCTTGTTTAAGACGCCCTAGCAAGACTTGGGGCTGCAGAGGAGAGCTGGGCGTGGAGACTCAGAGAGCTGCGCTGCATGTGTACATGTGTACATGGACGGTGTAGGGGGAGTATCTTTACCAAATTTTGCCTGAATACTTAGATTTTAAAGTCACAACCTTGGAGGAAATGAGAACAGGAAAAATACCTGGACTTTGGAGGAGCCAAGTGAGGAGCGCCGCTGAACCCAGCAAGACTGAGCAGAACCCAGTGTTCTGACGAGATTCCCCAGCAGTGGGTCAAGAAGTCTTGGCCACCACTGGGTCCCCGGCTCCCATCCTAGGCACTGGGGACCCAGGAAGCAAAAAGACATGGGCCCGGACTGGAGGACAATCAGCCCGTGCACAGGTGCTGCCAGTGGGCTCCACACTGTATCGGGGCCCCAGGGGGAATAGAGAAGTGCCATTCACAGACCGTGCCCTGCAGAAGGATGCAGTTTATTTGAGGGAACACCAGTCCTTGTGAAGTGACAGTAAGCGATCCAATAGCATAATTCTTTTTTATGCTCCTGGGTCATAGAAAGGATTTCTGGCATAATTGGGGAAGGCCATATGGAGGAGGTAGGCATTCAACTGGGCCCTGAGGTCTGGGAGGGCAGGATTGGGATGAGAAGAGAGAAATGGACATCCCAGAGTGAAGGCGCACTGATGGGCATAAGTTTGGCTCATGTGGGGACCAAGGAGGTGGCCAGCCTGACAAGATTGGAGACTCACTGAGGGGAGATGAAGAAATCCAGCTGGATGGGGCAGAGTCAGATTACTGAGGGCATTTTAAACTTCTAAAAGGGACTGTATCAAAATCCCAGTTTTTGAAATGCTCTGGCCATTTCCACACTCTCCCCTTTAGCTACAAGCCCATCATGGAATTCATTGATGCCCAGTTCGAGGCCTACCTGCAGGAGGAGCTGAAGATCCGCAGGGTACTGCACACCTACCACGACTCCCGCATCCACGCCTGCTTGTATTTCATCGCCCCCACGGGTCATTCCCTGAAGTCTCTGGACCTAGTGACGATGAAGAAGCTGGACAGTAAGGTACAGAGGCGAGGGGGAGAGCGGGTGGGAGGCTGGGCAAGCTGGACGCACTCTTTCTGGTCTCTTGTGCAAAGGAGATGTCAGATTCCGGGAGAGCATTTGGGGCATCCTCATCCTCTCCTTCATTCCTTGGCCCTCCATAAGGATGGTGTTATTGAGCCAACACCTGCGTCAAACGTTTTGTTTTTCCAGCACCGGGCAAGGTTTTGCCCTGAGCTGGCTTTCTGCCCTGCTCCATCTTGGGAATAAGGGTGGATGCAATCAGGGTGGCTGTTCAGGTCTAGGCGCTCAGGCCTTGGCAATGGAAAGGTGTCTTTTCTTTGTTCCAATATTAACTGCTAGAATCAGGTGTGTAAACTTGACTTTGAAAGTTATTATTCTTATTATCAATAATAATTTTATGTGTGTATGTGTGAGGAAGATTGGCCTGAGCTAACATCTGTGCCCATCTTCTTTTTTGTATATGGGATGCTGCTACAGCATGGCTTGACTAGCAGTGCTAGGTCCGTGCTCAGCATCTGAACCTTCGAACCCCGGGCCACCAAAGCAGAGTGCATGAAGTTAACCACTATGCCACTGGGCTGACCCTAATATCAATGATAAATTTATTTTTAAGATTAGCACCTGAGCTAACATCTGTTGCCAATCTTCTCTTTTTTTTCTTCTTCTCCCCAAAGCCCCCCAGTACATAGTTGTATATTTTAGTTGTAGGTTCTTCTAGTTGTGGTATGTGGGACGCCTCCTCACATGGCCTGATGAGTAGTGCCATGTCCGCACCCAGGATCCGAACCCGTGAAACCCTGGGCTGCTGAAGAGGATCGCACAAACTTAACCACTTGGCCACAGGGCTGGCCCCAATAATAATTTTTGTAATAGCAGCTAACATTTGTTAAACTCTCACTATATGCCATCACTGTGCTAAACACTTCATGGAGTATCTCACTGAATCCTCACAGCAACCCCATAAGGCAAACACTATCATTATCTCCCATGTTACAGAACAGAAAACTGAGGCTCTGAGTGGTTAAGTGATTTGCCCGTTGTCATATAGCTAGCTACTGGCAGAGCCTAGATTCAAGCTCAGATCTGTGGCACCATGTTATATTGCCTCCATATCCAAGAAAGACGCCTGTGGGAACAGGCGTGTCCTGCTTTAAGAGAAACTGAAAAATCCAAGTCCCACACCAGATATAAATTTGATAATGATTCTTCATGTTAAAGGATTATTTGCTGTACAAAAGAATAGACCACAGAATTCTTTAAAAAGCCCAATTACTGAGCCAGCCCTGATGACCTAGCGGTTAAAGTTCAGCACCCTCCACTTCGGTGGCCCCGGTTCAGTTCCCAGGTATGGAACCACACCAGTCGTCTGTCAGTAGCCGTGCTGTGGCAGTGGCCCACGTAGAAGAACCAGAAGAACTTAGAACTATACACAGCTATGTACTGGGACTTTGTGGGGGGCTGGGGGAAGGAAGAAAAAGGGAGGAAGATTGGCAACAGATGTTAGCTTAGGGCAAATCTTCCCCTGCAAAAAAAAAAAAAAGCCCAATTATTAGTACATTTTTTCCCCTAACATTTTGTATGTGTCTGGCACTATGATGAGTCCTTTCTATGCATTATTTTGTTTCATCCTTCCAATAATGCAGTGTGGTGGATACTTTCATTATTACCATTTTACACATGAGGAAACTGAGGTGCAGGCAAGTAGCTTGCTCAAGGTCAGACCACTTGTAATGGATCTGGGATTTGGACTGAGCTCTTTGACTCCAACGTAGTTTACTTTACAAAAATCTAATTTATATGCAGTTATTTAGCAGCACATCCACTATAAAAACCGAATTTCAGCTATAGTCAAAATAGAAGGAATTTTTCATTTTTTGCAGCCCATGAGTAACGGCTGTTCTGGAAATGTTGCTGAGCCCTGCATGCCCTGTGTAGGGCGGCAGAGAGCCGTGTGGCTGGCAGCCTGGTAGGCGGGTTGAGTGAGGCACGCAGGCTTTGGCATATGTTTATAGTGTGCCAGTGGTAGGTACGTGGTGAAAAGCGACAAGGAGAATGGCCTCTGCCTGCTGCTCCACCTTGGCAAGGGCTTTGACCCCCACCCCACACAGACTTCAAGAGAGGTGACTCCAAGGTCCAGCCTTCATCTTTCTTTGACCTAGCACCTGAAGCTGAGAGGGCAGCCTTTAGAGGCACTCTTAAGGCAAAGCACGAAGGAGGTAGAATCTGTCTTCCAAGCCTGGAGCTCCTTTCAGGGCCCGAGCACCATCCACGCCACCCCGTTGCAGTCTGCTGGCAGGAGCAACTGTGCTCTCTGCGTGAACCCGAGCTTAGGTGTGCTCTGTCTCACTAAGCCCGTGCATTTCAAGTTTCTTTACCTTCTGGCAGTAAAAGCTTTGTCCCTTCTTGGAGGAATTTCAAGGATCAGGGTTCAGGTGGGGTTGAACTTTGGAGTGGCATTAGGCCTTTCTCCTGCTGGCTGAAATTGGACATTTATGGCTACTTTCTTTACGCAGAAATTCATCATGAGACTCAGGCAGTATAACTCTTTCTGCATAAGTCTCAGATCAAGTTGGTAAGTGAGAGGGTCTTCTTTGCCTAACTGGTTGGTTCATCAGTGTTTGCTGCCAGAAAGGGGACCAGGTGTGCATCTTCACCGAGCTCTGCCCTGCCTCCCCTCCCTCCATCGCCCATGTGGGTCCCTCTCACACTGGCTGGGGCGAGCCAGCACTGGATGGGTTGGGACAGTTTACTGTTAGCAAGGGGTGGCCACTTCTCCCCTTGTCAACCAAAGATTCCCAACTGTCATCTTTCCCCTTTGAATCACCCAAGCAGTGACCTTGATATTCAGATATCACACAGCTCATCAATTTGGGTCTGAGCTGGTAGACAGCTCATGGTTAAGACTATGGACTTAGGAATAAGGCCAAACTTGGATCCCGTTCTGCTGCTTACCTGATCTGTGGCCTTGGACAAGTTACTTAACCTCTTTGTGCCCCAATTTCTCATTGGTAAAACAGTGGCAATAATACCTCCTGGGAGGGTTGTTGTCAGAATTAATTGTGTTAATCCATGTAAAGCACTTAGTTCAGTGCCTAGCACATAGTAAGCACTCATTGTTTATTATATTGTTACTTGGCCACAGGGGTGGCCAGTCCTAGATCACTGGGTCGAGCTGCTCCCTCTGGCAGCTGGTGGAAGTCCTAGGTCATGCCGTTGTCAGTTGCAGATTACCAACAATGATCCCACTTTGCTCTTCCCTTCCCAGGTGAACATCATCCCTATCATTGCCAAATCCGATGCCATTTCGAAGAGCGAGCTAACAAAGTTTAAAATCAAAATCACCAGCGAGCTTGTCAGCAATGGGGTCCAGATCTACCAGTTCCCTACAGATGATGAGTCGGTGGCAGAGATCAACGGAACCATGAACGTGAGTGGGAGCACAGGGTTCAACTTTCTGACCATCTTAGTGTTGTCAACTCTTGGTTATCTGAGTCTCATCTACTTGTGAGAAAGAATCCAGAACCAAAACAGCTCCTCTCTCCTAGCGGTGGCTGCTCCAAAGCCTCGGAGGTACAGAGATGGATAGCCCGAGACTGAGGGAAGGAAAGGCTGACTCCGGAAGAGTCTGGAGCAGGGGATCCAGACCTCTCCTTCCACTCTTGTCTTTGATGCTGCTCTGGTCTGGGCCAGGCAGCCCCAAGGAACTGCTGGAGAGGCAAACAGTCTTTGTCTCTGACCAAAACAATGCTGTGACATTTACAGAGAACAAGCTGCCTGGCTTCGGAGACTCAAGGATAATCTGTACTCAGATAATCAAGCTCTCTGCCCCTGGGAAGAGAAATGACATATAGCCTCCAATTTTTCTGGTGATTAGAGAAACGTTATTTTTATGTTTCAGGGTTATGCTTTGCTTTATTAAGTGTGAATGAATCAAAAGAAAAAAAAGAAAACCAACTTGCCATCTTTCCTTTCCTCCCCCACATTCCCCAACTAGAGAAATGAGTAATGGAGAAGGCAGAGAGTCAAACAACTCCTCATGCTTCTTTACAATGTGTTGATGCTGTTGCTGTGAAATCTTCAATGTTGTGATTTCAAGGAGACAGCTAATAGCTTTCAGAAAGCCTCTGCTTTGGGAACAGATTTCTTTTTTTCTATTGAGAGACATCAGTTTTTCCTAATGACATAATGCCTGGGTATAGCCAAATTCAGGAAAGCCTTGTAATAAAAGCCATTTTTAGAAACCTTTCCTGCTGTCGCTGCCCCCTAAGTTATCATTATAGCATCAGCTGCCACCTCGTATGAATTGGCCAACAAATTCGCATAGCGGGGCAGCAAGTCATCGTCTCGCCTGACTTCCTGCCCATCAGACACCCGAGATCTGTTTGTTATTAGAAGCCCCTCATCATCTTTGACAAATCTGGCCCAGGAGTAAGGCTGTGTGGATTGTGGTAGGTGGAGTTATATCCTCTTTGACTCGTTGTAAGCATGAAAACAAAAAAGATTCTTGCTTATCCTCTCAAGCAGGCAGGGCGTTTTGATGGAAACCAGGCTTAGCCATGAGGAGAAAACCTGAAAGGGTGCCCAGCCTGCAGAAGAAGGGGAGCTGAGAGAGAAGTGATGTCTGGTATCACTGGTACTCATGTCTGGAAGCGCCTCGTCACCTCAGAACATTGGGCCCCATAGATCCCTTCCCAGCTCAATTCCCTAAGTCACCAGGCAGCCTCCAGGCTTGCGGTTTGCTTTGCTAAGAGTAAAGAGGGGCTTAGAGTCCTCAGCAATCCCAGATATCAGACAAAACTACCTCTCACTACCTTGTGGATCAAGAGTGACAATCACCCTGGCCTCCTGCTTGAGCCTAGGGCAGGCTCAGCCTCAAGCCTGGAAACTTCCTGTGCTATAATAAAGCAGCAGTTCTCAGCCACACTGATTTGTCTGTGAAGGGGTTCTTGGTCCTTTCTTACAACAGTCCAAAGTTTGCCAGTGTTTCACTTGGAAAAACTACATTTGAGTGGATTCAGGGTTTGCCCTGTAATAACGTCACTCAGCACTCACTCTCTGGCATTCCACCATGCTTTTCTGAGTGGGAAAGAGGGAGGTGGCCTCAGCTAGTGTGCCTGGAATTGGGTGTGCCCAGGGGAGGGGGGCATGCATGTGAATGCTGTGTGTTACGCATTGTTTTGGGGGAAATGTGGGGATTCGCTGCTATAAAATACACACACAGGATTGCTTAGCCTGCCTGCCACCAGAACAACTGTGTCGAAAGTCCCCAGAGTTTCCAGACAAGCTGTGGTGCATGAAGCTGCATCATCAGAGACCCAGGCTTGCGTGGTAGGAGGAATGGGTGCTGGCCTTTCAATTCTGAATTTGACTCCAGCCCCACAGCCTCAGCCACCTCAGCCGATTGTCATGGGAACTGGATTGGAAGAGGTGGAAGAAGCCTCTTGCCTAAGTGGAGGAGACCATACTGCCATCCCGCTGCCCCCCACTAGTGATTTTCATGGCAGAAAATGAGAGTGATGAGGTCTCAGTCTCCTCCTTGCCTTATGGCTGCCTCTGAGAAAACTTATTTCAGATTGAGGGTGCAGGAGGAGGGAGTGAGAGGTCTTGTTGCACGCTACTTCCACCCCATGCTCTGACAGCTCTCAAGGTTGTAGACTTGAATACTAAAACTGCTGTTCTTCAAATTGAATGTTGTTATTGGAATGGCTCAAACCATGACCAGGAACCAGGGCATAGGCCCAGTTACTCGACTCAGCTCAGTTGGTTGGCCATCTGCGAGGTCTTGGGTTTGGCTCCCACAAAGGCATTTTGGCCCAGTGAGAGCACACGGTGACCAGGAGGGTCACAAGAAGACCCACAGGCACAAGCCTGTCCCTTCTCCCGAGGGGGCAGTGCCATTTCCATTGTTTGCACATCCTTTTGCGGGAATCACCGAAGGCCGGCCTGAGAGAGGATCAGGTGATGCTCTTGCTCAGTGTCCAGTAGGAGCCTGAAATGGGAGGGAGCCTCGCCCCGTCAGGATGTTGTCAGAGGAGGAGTAGAGTCCTGACAGCCTCTGTTTTGCCGGGCTGAAGGGAGGTGTCGTCTAACCTCCCCAGTATAATGGATGTAGTGGGACCAGAATAGAATAATTCACGCCAGTTGGATTATCAAACACTTTAAAATGTACCAAGAGGAATTTAAGGCGCACACAAGACCGTAAAGGTAGTGAATCTGGGAACAAACTCCCAAGAGGAAGCTTAAGATTATCTCTTGCTGGAGTTTTCTGAGACTGGGACATCTGACATCTGAGGGCACCTCATCAGAGCTCTCCTGGCTGAGAGCTACACGGACTCCCCTTAGGGGCCTGTCTGTGTTTCAGCAGCAGCACTGTCCTGCATCCATCAGAGTCTCCTCCCTGGGCCCACATGTACAATTGTCACCCCTGGGAGTGTGGCTGGAGGGTTTGCCTTCTCCCTGCTCTGCTCGACACCCTTCTGGTTGTCATAGCCATCAGTCTCCCAAGAGCAGCAGAAAGAGGGCCAGAGCCTGGCCCCATGATTTCCTGCCCTTCATGGTTGGCTGGCTTCCAGCAGATGCCATTTACCCAGGAGGCAGAGCGCAGGCTGCCTCGGGGGGCTGGGGGAGGCTGGCAGCCACAGCGCTGTGTCCTCCCTGCTCCCTAGGAAGATTTGGACATGGAGTTAGGGACCTGGGTGACTTGTTTAACCTTTCTGTATGTCAATTCCTCCAAAGCACGAATGGGGTCTATAATAACCGCCCTTTAAGGCTGTTGTGAGAATCAAATGCAGTCTGTCGGGGAGCACTTGGAAATGTTATCCTTGCATATACTTATCAGAACAGACTTTGATGCCAGTTGCAAAGGAGTGCACTGTGGGAGGTCCCGGGAGCCCTCTGAAGCTGGCTTGGCAGGGGCTGTGTGTTTTAGAGCGGGGAGGGATAAAATGACAACAGTTTAAGGAAGAGGGGAAGCAAGTGACCCTGTCATTCTAACTAACACCGTCTTTTGGAGATAAAAATAACAGACTCATGGGAATACTGACATTTTTTATGCCTTTATTCTCTTGGGTTTTTTTCTCCTCTCCTCTTGAGCCTAGAGAAGTACTTCCCACTTCACACACCCTCCTCCTCCATCACTTCCAGCTGGGAGCCCAGGATGCGCGGGAATGATATAACACGCTTTCTCTTTCCCACCTCCTCCCTCGGTCTAGCCCTCTGCCATCACTGCCCCTTGGCTCTTTTGTGTCATGTGGCCAAACTTTGGGATCTCTGTAGGAGGAGCAACATTTTCCCAGAAAGTGTTTGGGGGTGGATTTGAGGCTCCCGACATGTCTTGGGTCCCTGAGTGGGAATGAATTGTGCCCAGATGATCCCCCTACAAAGCCGGCTGGCAGAGGTCAGAGATACTCCAGCCCTTGGGCAGGGTTCTCAGGACTTCAGTGCCCCCTATTGTCCCATGTGGCGCATGCCCAGTGACCCTTTTGATCATTGCCCACTGGAACTGATGAAACATTTCCCACCTCCACCCCTCACTCCCTTCCATATCCGTAATCTCCTCTTTCTCGCTTTCCTATGTCCCTATTTCAGGGACAGTCAGCAGAGGGGGAAGGGGTGGAGGGAATACTTGAGATGATACTCTGAGAGCAGCTGGCGGGGGGAGAGAGAGCCACTTCAGCTGGGCGGCCAAGCACCTCGGGGGCTTAGCGGACCTCCTAGAGCTGAGCTCCTGATTAAGTCTTGTGTTTTTCCACTCTGAAGAACATTCTTGGGGCGCAGAGCTAGAAGAGAATGGAGAGGAACTGGCTGTGAGATCAGTGTGCAGATTAGACAAACAAAAGACATTTGCTGTGCGTCTCCCAGAATTGAGCTGCCTCTTATAATCCAGCCTTGCACAACCAGTTCACCCCAGGGTGTAGAGTGCTCCCCTCATCTGCTTCTTAGACCCCTAAATGGGAGTGGCACACCAGCAGGGGTGGGCTTTGAAGTCAAAGAGACCTGATTCCATGCCTAGCTCTGCCCTCTTTACTACTGTGTGCCTGCTGGCAAGTCACTTGGTCCTTCTGAACCTCAGTGTCCTCGTCTAGAACATGAGGATAATGAGAATAGCTATCTCGTAGCATTGCTGTAAAGATTCAGTGAGATCATGCAATGTAGAGCACCTGGTACATAGGACATAGAGCTGAACAAATTGCTGCTGCTAATGCCAGTTCTATAGTTTCCAATACTGTTAGTACGACTGCACTTACCTACTCTGTGAAGCCTGCTTGGCTTCCCACAAAGTTAGCTGCGCCCTCCTCTGTGTTCCTCCAGCCCTCGAGCCTCTGTTTATAGTCTGGGTCTTACTGTATTATCATCATGGGCATGTGTCTCCCCTAGCAGACTGTGCGCTTTCCAGGGGTAGGCCCTGAGCTTCTTCAGCGTTGTATTCTTCTTAATGCCTAGCACACAGTGGGAGCTCAGTAAATACTTGTAGAATGGATGAATGAGCAAATGGGCCAAAATATCTGCAATCGAGGTCTGTTTCTTCAAGCAGCCCAGTGGACTTTTACTTGTCCGTGTAAAGTCCTTTTGAGCAAAGCCCCGCCCAGATTGCCTGGTTTATAGACAGTATTTATTCAGTGGTTCCATTCGGCCAGCGCTCACTCAGCACTTACCACCTGGCCAGCTCCCTGCGGAACGGGGCTCTGTGAGTGTTTCCCAGGCCCCATGTGACCAACTGGAAGCAGCTGCCACTTCTCTGACCCACAAAGCCTTCATCGGCCAGGCCTAGCTCCTCATCCCCCCCCAAGCACCAAGCTCACACCCTGTTTGTACATTGCCTTTCTTTCCTCTCTACTATTCCCATGGCCCTGCCACTGCCGTTCAAGGAGTATTTAGTAAGCACCTACTATGTGTGGGGCACCAGACCATTTGAGCCCTTGGTCATAGTCTGTCTTTTATGATATTGAGTATGTAATTCAGGCTTCCTCCCCAAGACTATAAGCTCCTAGAGGGTGAGGGAGTGTGTCTGCTGCTTCTTTTGTCCCCCTTACAGCACCTAAAATAGAACCCATCACAGTAGTGGGCAGGTGGCTCAGAACTTTACTTCTGGGCTTGAGAGTTCAGTGTGAGTTCTTGCTCCAGGGGAGGATGAGAACAAGGAGAGCACAGCTCAGTCAGCCGTGTGGTTTCAGTATGTACCCATCCTTGGGGCTCTCACACTCTGGGGAGGGGGAGGGCCAGTGATCCCAGCCCCCTCGGTTCTCTCTATCCACACTTAGCCCCGCATCCCACTCACCCGCCTTCCAAAGGCTCCTCCCCTCAGCAACTGTGAATACCGACTGGCTAGCTAACCTGTGCATCCGCTTCTTATTCTGCTGAGTTTCTGCCTCTCTTCCCTATGCATTCAGCCAGGTCATTGCTACCTTCTATTGCGAATTTCTGAACAGTGGAAGCTTGGATTGGGCTTCTTATCCCCACATAGCTCGGGAACGTAAGAAATGCCTCTTGATGATGACGACAGTGAGGGACATTGCAGCATGAGGGTCCGAGGCCCGAGGGCTGAGCAGCAGTTGTATCGTGGGGCACTCAGTGCCTTTCCCTGGAGTTCTGAGCTTTTGTTTGCCTTTTGTTTCAGGCCCACCTGCCGTTTGCTGTCATTGGCAGCACAGAAGAACTGAAGATAGGTAACAAGATGATGAAGGCGCGACAGTATCCTTGGGGCACGGTGCAGGGTGAGTGAATCTCCTGGAGACAAGGAGAAGGGAGCCCCTTCTGTCTGTCTCTTTGCCTGGCTCCAGCCACTGTGTGACCCGTCCCTAACTTGTCCCCAGTCTACTCATTTGGCTTGGGCCACAAACAGCCACAGACATCACCAGCAGGCAGACTCTGGCTTCATACCTGGATTCTCTGCCGTGAGTAGGCTCTCTTTTGTCTCTGATGGAGAAAGCATTCCTAAAACCAAACAAACGCACCTGGAGCAAGGCAGGCAGGCGGGTGCTAGAAAGCATGTGTACTTGCCCGAGTGCACCAGGAGACCCACGAGAATGTTCACAGCAGTGGTGTTCATAATAGCAAATAAGTAGAAACAACCCAGACACCATTAAAAATAAATTGGCTGAATTGCAAAATGCTCATATGATGGAATATTATGCAGCAGTGAAAATGAGTGGACTATAGTTACATCTCCATGAATGCATCTCAGAAACATAATGTTGGGCTAAATAAATCATAGTAGAATACATGCTGTATGATTCCATTTATATGAACCCCAAAAGTAGACAAAACTAAACAAGATATATATTTTTAAAAATTCATATGTAAGTGGTAAAACTATAAAGAAAAACAAAGGAATGATAACCCAAAAGTCAGTATAGTGTTTAAGTCTCATTGTGGGGAAGGAGGGGTGTGAGATGAGAAAAGGACACAAAGGGACTTCTAAGGTATAGTAATGTTTCACCTGGGGCATGGATACATTGGTATTCTTCTTTTTTTAATTCTTTAACTTGCACATGTACATTTCATGCACTCTTGCATGTATGATTATTTCTCAATGTAAAAGTGTATTTAAAGATGTACATACACTCAGGAAAGTTCCTTTTGTGGTCTGCCTGACGTGTGTTGTTAGCCTCGGTGCCATCAGTGCAGTGGCTAAAACAAGGCCTAGGACACTGCCATGGGTGGAGGAGGCGTCTGGTCCTCCGAGTCTCCAGCTGTAAGCGAGGTCTCGGAGCACAGGGTCGCGGTGTGTGAGAGCGCGGCTGTCCACTGTAAACTCAGCCCCACCACTGAGCAAGCAAGTGAAAGCGGGGGTGAGGGGGTGAGCATCACACCCGAAGACCTGCATATCTTAGGGCACGCCAGAGACCTCTGGCCATAGCTGGATTTTTCCATAGGTAGGACAAGACTGTCATCAGAGCTCTGCTAGGTTTTGGTCTTCTCTGCCATTTGGGGCTGGCGATGCTCCACCAGGAACATTTACAAATGCTTTCTGGACCAACAGTCCCACCCTGGGAATGAATTTGTGTTCTCAGAGGCAGGAACCTGAGGTGAAATGAGGAGAAGCCAGCAGACGGGGTTCCAATGACTTCCTCCAATTTAGATCACCCCGCACCTACCCAACAAAGGGATTTTTGAACACTTTTCTTGCAAGTCGTGGTTCACTGTTCTTTTAGAGTGAGGAAGAAGCTGCGGATTGTCTGCACAGCCTGCAGGGGTCTTGGAGTCACTCCTTCCAACTGACCACCGGGGACCACTGCCTGGAGATGGAGAAGGAGATGGTCCTGCGAAGTCACCTGACTGATTTGACTTTTAATATCACCTTCTCTTCTATGACAGCAAGGGCCTTTATCCCAAAGGCAATGGGTCTTTTTTTTTTTTTTTTTTGATGAGGGAGATTGTCACTGAGCTAACGTCTGTTGCCAATCTTCCTCTTTTTGCTTGAGAAAGATTAGTCCTGATCTAACATCTGTGCCAATCTTCCTCTGTTTTGTATGTGGGGTGCTGCCACAGCATGGCTTGTTGGGCGGTGTGTAGGTCTGCACCCAGGATCCAAACCTGCAAACCCCGGGCTGCCAAAGCGGAACATGAGAACTTAACCACTACACCACAGGGCCAGCCCTGGCAATGGGTCTTAAGCAAAGGGGTTATGGGAGCTGATTTGGGCTTTGGAAAGATTATTCTGATGACCACAAGGCAGTCTGCTGCAACTATACCCCACTCTGTCATCACAGGCCCCCGCCCTGCCCCCACTACCCTCTCGCAGACCTCGCAAGACAGAATCTGGGGTGACTGTGCCTGTTCATCATCTCAGACACCACAGTCCCCTCTCCACAGTGGAGCCATGCCTGCAGACACGCGCCAAGGCACTGCTCACAGCCTTGTGTTCCATCCAGAAGTCCATTTTGCTATGGTCCACATCTCTGCCCTTCTGGGCCACTGCCCCAAATGCAGAGCTTTGCTGCACTCTTCAGAGGAGGGGGCCTGCTCACTCAAGCTGGAAAGTGGGGTCCACTTTGTCATTGTCACCATTGCTGCTGTCAGGCCATTATCCACCCTCCAAAAAGCTTTGAAGCTTCTACCATCCAGATGGGCCCCACCTGTGGTCCATACCTCTCCTTGTCACTGGGTCTGTTGATGTCCTAATTCTTCCCCCTTATTCTTTGGAAACTTTGGCCCCTGGTCATAGCCTTTGCCTCTCCTCTGCTTAGATTGCCTGGATTTAATAGTTTTGTGTTTTGTTTTGTTTTTTTTAAGATTTTATTTTTTTCCTTTTTCTCCCCAAAGCCCCCCGGTACATAGTTGTATGTTCTTCATTGTGGGTCCTTCTAGTTGTGGCATGTGGGACGCTGCCTCAGCGTGGTTTGATGAGCAGTGCCATGTCTGCACCTAGGATTCGAACCAACCAAACACTGGGCCGCCTGCAGCAGAGCGCGCGAACTTAACCACTCGGCCACGGGGCCAGCCCCTAGATTGCCTGGACTTAAATCCTAACACTGCAACTTACGAGCTGTGTAACCTTGCCTAACCTCCTCAAGACCTTGCAAGGACTATTCCCCTATCTGCCTGATAAATTCCTAGTCTTCTTTCAAGAGATATCTAGGGGTTACCTCTTCGGAGAAGCCTGCACTCTCCCAGGAGGTGTTAGGCCCCCTCTTCTGGGCTTTCATTGCACGTTGTCTATCTACCTCCATTTTGGTAATTTTTGCATGATATTATATTTGTCTATTTGCATCTCTTCTTCCATGAAACCGTAAGCTCCTAAGGGCAAGACTCCATGACTTCGTTTCTGAATTCTCAGTGCCTCATACAATACCAGGAACAGAGGTTCTGCAAATATTTATTGGGCGGATGGCTGAATGTGATGGCCACTGTCCTAAAAGTGGTGCAGAGCAAACATTCCTGGAAGAGTCTGAGTGGCAAATTTGAGTTGAGGTGCTACTGAATGTCTTCGTAGATTTTTTTTTATGGTATTGCAGTTTTCCATTCCTGTCATTCTTGTAACTTTTCATTTGCCTTTTCAGTAGAAAAGTGAATTAGGAGGCAAATTCGCAGGCTCAATATACACGGATTGAAAGGCAATGTGGCTTTTAGACATTTCACCTCTCATTTTGTCCATTTCTCCTTCTTCTGGCTTTCCTTTCCATATACTTTCCCAACCCCTGCTGTGCAGTTGAAAACGAGGCCCACTGCGACTTTGTGAAGCTGCGGGAGATGCTGATTCGGATCAACATGGAGGATCTACGGGAGCAGACGCACAGCCGGCACTATGAGTTGTACCGCCGCTGCAAGCTGGAGGAGATGGGCTTCAAGGACACCGACCCCGATAGCAAACCCTTCAGGTACCTCTCCTGTGAGCCCAGCCCAGCTCAGCTCAGCCCACCCAGGAAGTGTGCAAGCCTTGCCCTGGAGAATTCACAGGGGAGGCGAGACACAGGTGCCGAGACCCAGTGCAGCAGAGCTAAGGCCCTTGCCAGTTCCACTTGCCTGTTCCCTCTCTGCCTCTGCACACCTGCCAGGGGAGCTGTGGCAGGGCGGGCTTGGTAAGCACTGGGCCAGGGAGGAGGCCCAGAGGACCAGCAAGGCCGATGGTCTCACGGCCAAAAGCACACACATGGCAGCTGCTGTCAGCTGTGCTGGAGGGGAACCCTGAGCTGCCGCCTTGTTCTGCCACGTGGCAATTTATGCGTGTCCTCTGCCTGCCTAGCTTCATCAGGCTCCTGCTACTCTGGTAGGTTTCCAGTCTGTTCCTTACCCTCCTCCCCATTATCAAAATCAGGCGGGACCAGGCAGCAGTCACCGCACAGGTATTGATGAACTTGAGCCTCTTCATTCACTGGCCTTAGTGTTTGCATTCAAGTGCGAGCTTTGTTTTGACCACAGGATGTTAATAATCACTGACATACTTCTCAAGTCAGAATCTAAGGTGCTTTCCGAGAAGAAGAAGGTTTCTGAAAGCAGTTTACTGTGCTGATATGGGCGGTACGCCAGGTATAAGTGTCTGATTTGTATGCCTGAAGTGTGACATAAGCCCACATTTTAAAGCACCATGTGGCGCACTTTGTTGCCGCTCAATCTCCTTTCAGGGAATGTTAGGCTTCGATAAGCAAGTGAGGAGGACGCTTGTGGGCTAAGAAGGCTTTCAAAAGGCCTCTGAGATCCCACAGTTCCTGTTCACAGCAGAAAGCCAGCCTGAGGGCAGAGCATAGCCAGTCCTCTGGGGCTGCCTGGTTCCAGAGGGGCAGACTCGTTTCCCTTCATAGACAGGCAGGGACGGGGCCACTGGAGCTCCTGAGGCTGGAGGAGGGCATGCTTGCCTTTCTGGTGGGCACTCCCTTAGCTTTGTCCTTCCCCTCCGACAGCTTTAATCTGCATCTGTGGAGGAAGAGGTGTGCCTCTACTGTTCATCTAGTCCCCTCCCCTCCTCCTGCTCCATCCCTGAAAACCTCCGTTACCTGCGTCTTCACCCTCTGCGCGCCTCTGCTGGCTCCTTTCCATATTGCGTGCAAACATTCTCATCCTAAAGAAACTCTCCCTTAACTGCTCCTCCTCGCCAGCCTATCCCTGTCCAGAAGTTTGGCTCTGACGGGAAGGAGAAAGAGTTGTTGTGTATTTACTGGCTTCTGCCCCCACCACTCCACTGAAACACCTCTGTCCAAGCTCAGCAATCACACACTCAAAGCCAATCGCAGTGTGCCTTCTGAGTCCCATCTTTTTTGATCTCAGCGTTTGATGGTCTTCCCCGCTGCCTGTTCCCTGAAGTTCTCTCTGCCTTTGGCTTTTCTGACACTGGTCTGGCTGGTTTTACTCCTATCTCTCTCAGTGCTGCTTCTCAGCCTCATTGGCAGGCTCATTTCCTTCAGCGTACTCCTTTGAATGTTGATATGCCCCAGGATTCTTTCCTAGGGCCCTGCTCCTTTCCCTCTCTCTTCTCTTCACACTGGTTCTTTCTACTCTCACAGCTCTAATACCACCTAGATGACTCCCAAGCTAAAATCTTACGTTTGACCTCTGACCCCATTGATCCAACTGCATACTGGATACTTGCACTCAGACCTCCCAGAGAGGACGTACCTGAACTCAGGCTGTCTAAAATTTAAGTCATCTTCTTCCTTCTTAAACAGACTCTTTCTCCAGTGTTCCCTGTCACGGTTCATGGTACCGCCATCCACCTGGTTACCCAAGCCAAAAACCAGGCATCATCTTTGACTCCTCCCAAGTCCTGGGAGTTCTGCCTCCCTTAGTATTCTCCCACATTCCCTGTCCCCCATTTCCTTAACATTAAAAGTAAGACCCTGTCATTTCTTACTTGGATTGTTGCAAAGTCTGTCCTTCACGCAACAGCCAGAGTGGCCTTGCTCATTTTCAAATTGGATCAAGTCAGTCCTTCTACTTAGAACCCTGCAGTGGATAAACTCATCTCCCACTACTCCACAGCCTACACGACACTCTCCAGCCATGTCGGACTGTGCCTGCCTCCCCAGGCATGCCATTCTCTCTTCACACGCGCCTTTCCACCTGCTCCCCTCATCGGAGCACAGTTCCTCCTCTTCACCAGGCCAACTCCTATTTCTCTAAAACTAAGTTCAGGCTGGGGGTACAGAGACTTAGCCCAGGCATCTCCCAGGAGACTGTGAATGCCTTGATGGCAGGCACAGTGGCTGTTGGCTCTAGATGTTGAGAAACTAGCACAGTGTCACTTAGTCCTGTGCCTAGCACATGGTGGAGTCTAATCAAGTGTTTATTGAAATAGTTCATTCATTAACGTGATCAGTTTCAGAGCCAGGAACTGGCAGCACAGTGCAGTGGGAGGACCCAGATTAAGAGACAAGCGATCCAGTTTCTTGTCCCCGCTCTGCCTCTAACTAGCTGTGTGGTCTTGAGCAAGTCACCTCACCTCTCTGGACCTATGGCTTCATCTGTAAAAAGAGGGTATAGAAGCAGATGTCCTAAGCCACTCCCAGTTCCAAATATTTCTCCATTTCACCAGGGCCACCCCATCCCCTTCAAGTAGCCCCATGACCCTGCTGTCACATGCCAAGCCAGCTGCCCACAGCTTTGTGGTTCTGTTTTTGCACCTCTCCCAGAATTGGGGAAGGGAGGATGGGGGAACACAGGGAGCATCATTGGGGCCAGTTTTCATCAAATGGGAGCCATTCTGAAGGCAGGGGAAGTAACCTGACCATGTTCGCAGTTTACAGGAGACGTATGAGGCTAAAAGGAATGAGTTCCTAGGAGAGCTCCAGAAAAAAGAAGAGGAGATGAGACAGATGTTCGTCCAGAGAGTCAAAGAGAAAGAAGCTGAACTCAAAGAGGCAGAGAAAGAGGTAAGAGAGGGGGGCTTCTGGGCTGGAGTCTTGCAGCCTCCAGGCAGGAATGGGCACCGCATGTGAAGCCCTGCCTTGGCTGGCACAGAGGGCTTCCAGATCTGTGACTTCTTGCTCCCTCATTCCTCAGTGCCAGGATGTTTTCTCTTTCTGTTACTTAATTCTCTGGAGCTGCGCTGTCCCCTTTGGTAGCCACTAGCTCATGTGACTATTTAAATTTAAATTAATTAAATTTAAATAAGATTTAAAACTCAGTTCCTCAGTTGCATCAGCCACATTTCAAATACTCAATCCTCGTGTGACTAGTGGCTATCGGACACTGTGCCTATTGGACAGCACAGATATAGAACATTTCCATCGCCAAAGAAATTTCTATTGGCAGTGCTGCTCAAAAGTCAAGACCTGACACAGCCCCTCGAGGTCAGGTGCAGGCTAATTCTTTTCCCTCTTCCTGGGAGTTCGGAGCTCAGTAGGGACAGTTGATCACTTTCTTGGCTGTCCTGCCCCATCCTCCCTTCTGTGATGGCCACGGAGAAAGATGGTCCCAGACAGTCTTGGGGACCTTGCTGAAACCTAAGCCAGTGACAGCTGGAGCATTTCTCCATTCACTTGGATATTCTGTTCCATTTCATTTTATCCTTAAAGAAACAGCTGTGTGGCTCTAGCAAGTTTTTAAACTAAGGTTTGATGGTCTGTCTGGGGTTTTCATTACTTGAGCCATGTCTCATCAAGTGCAGTTGGTCCTCTAACCATCGCCTTGGCTCCCGGGTACCCCTACCAGTTTGCTCACTGCTGCCCAATTAAGTGGCCTCAGCTACAGTTTGGTCACGTCAACAACTGCTTCACCTCTCTAGGCCTTGAAACCCATAAGAAGGGAAGCACTTCATTTCCCGTCTCTTCCTCCTTCGGTCTGCTATGACTCTCTAGGGTTATCACCAAAGCCTGTGGTGACGGTATTGGTTTTACTTCAGTTTCACTTTTCAAAAGAAAAATGTCACCCAGGACTTTTAGGAGGAGAGCTGAGGGGATCTCAAACATAAATGAATGAAAGGCCAATGAAGGGAAGCCAGGTTAAAGCAAGTGACCGGCCGAGCTCCCACCACCCTGCCCCAAGTGACTAGTTACAGCTGGTTTCCACAGCAAGTCTGTCACACACCACTCCCTACTAAGTGACAGTCCCAAATCCCTATAGGACCCGGAGACCTGATCTCCTTCATGGTGCACTGCAAGGGCTGCGGAATCCTAAGCTCCCTCGTGAGTCCCCAAAAGAGAGTGAAATTATGCTTGTCTGCTCTTACTATTCAGGCTAGTTTATCACCACCTATAGACCCCTTGCTCTCTGATCCCTTACCACGATGGCATGCCAGAATATTCTTGCTGTTCTCCTTTGGGTCTCTGGCTCTCTTCATGGCTAGCTCAGCCTCCCTTTGGCCAAGGTGTCTGCACTCATTCCATTGTATGGAATTCTCTTCTCTCCTTCTGTGTCCAGGGACAAGTATTTTCTTTGACCGGCTTTGGCATTGCTGAAGTTTGCTCTGTGATCCATAGTGAGCCTTCCTGATTGGAGGGGATAAGAAAAGGCAGGTGCTCCTTTCATATTGGGAGATTTCATTATAGAATCTTCTAAAGAATGGATTGACCTTGGGCAAATTCCTTAACTTCTCTGACCTTCTGTTTCCTCATAAAGTGAAGATAATAACAGAACCTACCTCATAGGATTGTTGTGACAATTAAATGAGTTCATACCTATAAACTGCTTATAAAAGTCAGTGCCTGGCCTAAAATAAGCACTCAATAAACGTTATGCTATTGTCATCGATATTACTGTGAACCATGTGTGGTACCTCTTTTAAATAAAACATTTGATGAAGCAGAATGCACGGTGCCATGACCATATTCAGTAACAGGAACTTGGAAATAAAATGGCAGGAGAAGAGAACTATCCAGAACTTGGTGCCCTTTGATGCCGTCGTAACTGTCCCTGGCAGAAATGTCCCCTAAGGTCCCAGGGTCCTGCAGGGTTACGACCCTGCCAGTCCCCACCCGCCCTGGGCTCGGCTCAGCTGGGAGCTGCTCGCGAGGACCTCTCCTCAAACTCCTTGTGCTTCCCTGCCAGCTGCATGAGAAGTTTGACCGTCTGAAGAAACTACACCAGGACGAGAAGAAGAAGCTGGAGGATAAGAAGAAATCCCTGGATGATGAAGTGAATGCTTTCAAACAGAGAAAGACAGCAGCCGAGCTGCTCCAGTCCCAGGGCTCCCAGGCCGGAGGCTCACAGACTCTGAAAAGAGACAAAGAGAAGAAAAAGTAAGTGGTAGGCTGCTCTGGGGTAGCGGCTTCCTCCTCCTGCTCATCCCCTCAGGGCAGGGCCTGGAGGCTAAGGGCCGGGGACCAGAGGTGAGCTGCGGGCTGATAGACTCATTTGGCTACCTATAACTGGTCTCAGCAGCCCCATGAGACCTTCGGATTCCCTGAGTTGGGGAAACTGAGAGTAGGGGAGGGGTGTGGTCCCAGAGGCCTAGCCCCTCTGTTCCGCCACTTAGGAATGTCCTGCAACCTTGAGATAGGAGAGGAAGGGAAAGGAGAGGGAAAGCAAAAGAAGTGTGAGAGTAGGAAGAAGAAGGGAGGAAACAATGAGAAGCTGCAGTTACAAGAAAGAGATGAACAAAAAGAAGGGCAGATAGAGAGTAGTGGGAGAAAGAGAGAGCCTTAGCAGAAGCCTCTGGGCGCCCTCTTTCTCCTGGAGAGGTTGGGGCTGACCCGGCTTACAGGCCTGCTTGCTCATCCTATAACTGGGGTGTTCACCTCTGTGCCTGGAGGCCAACCGTCATCCTGCCTCAGTTCTCACTAGTGGCATCCAACAGATGCTGAAGGCTGCAGCCCAGTCCTGACCTCCCACCTCTTCTCTGTCCCTCCTTCTTGGCTGCTTAGTTGTCCTGGGCCTGGAGTGCTGAGAACTTGGTGGGGAACCCTCAGATGCTAGAACAGCTGGCCCTCCATATCCACGGGTTCCACATTTGCGGATCGTGCGAGATTAGTTGAATCTGAGGATTCCAAACCCACGGATACGGAGAGCAGACTAAGGGACTTGAGCGTCCCCGGAGTTTTGTATCCGCAGGGGTTGGGTGGGAAGGTCCTGAAACCAATCCCTCCGCAGATACTGAGGAATGACTGTATACTCCGTGTGCCCCATTCTCAACCTAGGGTTTACAATCCATCTGTGTCCTCTGGTATTTGGTAAGGCAAGATAGCATGGCTCCTGGTTACCATGTAGGTCAATAACCCCAATCTAAACCCAGGCTTTGCTTGCTGACGTTACCCATTCCTCATCCTAGAACCAGAGCAGAGAAAAGCATTTCCGATGAGACCTATACAACACCAGGAAAACATCCCATGGTCCCCTGTGCTCTATAGTGGTTTGAGCAGTGTGACTCGAGGAGCCCTCAGGTGGAGTGTTAGGCAATGTCCTTATTAAAGGGGCCTGAGGACCCAAAAGATGTCCATGGTCAATGCCTTCTGCTCTTAGCCGCTTGTTCCTGGACTCAAGTATTGGATATTTGCCAGAAGGAGGAAATATCTTCCTTTCCTCTGTGTCTGGCTTATCACTTAGGAATAAAATAGTGACTTTTGTACAATATTAAAATATTTTATATTTGAAGGCACTCAGTTTTGCAATCCGATTATTCTTTATTCAAAAGTACAATTTGAACATTTCCACCAATTAGTTCAGAGATTTTTGTTACGGAATCCTAACACTATAGTATGTCAAATTCACTGACTAATTAACTTTTTTGGGTATTACTTGATGGATAAAGTTCAACTAGCCAGAAAAAAAGCCCCTTTGGACACACTGTATGTTAACCAATCTGTCATGATGTGTTAGTTGCACCAGCAGAAATGGATTTTCTTTCTTTTTTTTTTGTGAGGAAGATTGGCCTTGAGCTAACATCTGTTGCCAATCCTTCTCTTTTTGCTTGAGGAAGATTGTTGCTGAGCTAACATCTGTGCCAATCTTCCCATATTTTGTATGTGAGATGCCACCACAGCATGGCTTGATAAGCGGTGTGCAGGTCTGCACCCGGATCTGAACCAGCAAACCCCGGGCCGCCAAAGCAGAGTGCACATGAACCTAAACACTACACCACCAGGCCAGCCCTGGATTCCTATTTTTAAGATTAGAAAAATCTAAATTTGTCTTCTAGCTCTAACCCGCTGCCTTCATAGTCCTGTGGTATTTGTTAACTCAATCCCCAGGGAAGTTTCACAGCCTTGCTTGAGATTCATTTGTTCAGAGCCCACTGACACTGAACTATAAATATGCCCCCTTCAGATGTTCAGTGGAAGTTCCTCTCAGATCAGGCTTTCTCCTAGTTGCCTCAAATTAACTGACCCTCCCCCGTCACCCCAGGCAGAAGACCCTACATAAGGAGACACCTCTCTCCAGTCTCCAGGGTTATTTGGGATTGGCGATGACACCCTTTCCCAATTCTGAGATGGGCGAAAACTTTGCTGGCATGTGGCACCTCATGTGAGCAATAAGGGCCTGACAAAATAGACTGTCCTCTTCCATACTTCCAGATGTATAAGTGGCTCCAGGCCTGGGCTTTTTATGTAATTCCACAAACGGTTAGCTAACTTCTGGAAACCCCATCATTAGATCTGTGCCACTCTGCTCCCATAGTGATGATGGTGGTGGTGGGTTTTGAGGGTAGAAGTGGTGACAGTAGCATTCCTTCTTAAGAGATGACGATTGGATCTAATAGAGTCACACAGTCAGAATGTCCTTTGGCTGCCCTTCAAGAGGTTAAGAAGGAGTACCAGTGTTCTAGGGGGTCCCTCTAGCCCATCTCGCCCTCTTCCCCTCCCCACTCCTCCTAATCTCCTTTGACCTCTAACTCTTCATTGTTTGTGTCAACTCATAACATTTGATTTCTCCTCAAGCTCGCTCCATCTTCATCAGCTCTTACTGTTTTACAGTTAACTCTGCTGTTTGCTGCATGCTGCATGAGACCCAGGGTCCTGGTAAGCTTTATTAACTCTAAATAGAACTGGCAGTGGCTTTAGAACACCTCTCCCCAAACCCTGCCCCCTCCCCTGCCAACACACATATCTAATCATACAAGAAGCTGCTTTGTGGTCCCAACTGGTTTCCTCTTGTGACTTACAATATTAAGAAATAGTCTGGTGTGGTTTCCAGTGTACATGTGGAACGTTTGCCTGCCTGATTAAAAGGGGGGTGTTTTTAGACTTGCTGCCAGAACAGCTGGGTAGCATAGCCGGATCCTGTGATCAGTATTGGAGCTTTCAGTTTTGACCATTTTTTCCTTAAAGAGCCTTAATCATTACTTTCAAAATTAATTAAACAGTAGTGATTAGGGAAGTTGTTGGGGTTACAAGCCCTGTCTTGCAATGTCTCAGTCAATATGACCCCCAGGTTTGAGAATGTTCTGAGCCAACAGAAACTTGCTTCCCTGTTTACCTCTGGTGGCTGTTTCTTATCTGAGGGGTTCAAGTCTCAAATTTCCTTTGGCTATGTAACCCCCCAAACCCATCATAAACGTGAGAGAAAACGAAGAGCTCTCAGATATTATAGAGAATTCCTTACATTTAATTCTACGAGTATCAGCTTTATGAACACCTTTGAGAAGGAGATAAGCAGGTCACCTTTGGTAAAATGGATTCCTGAGGGCTAGGTGTTGTGTCTAGAGAAGTGAAGAAAGCAGCCCCTGACGTCACATAGTTTATAGGTTGATTAGAGCAATGACCGAGCACCTTCTTTTCTGTTTTTTTAAAGATTGGCCTTGAGCTAACATCTGTTGCCAATCTTTTTTCTTCTTCTTCTCCTCAAAGGCCCCCAGTACATACTTGTATATTCTAGTTGTGGGTCCTTCTGGTTGTGCTATGTGGGACGCTGCCTCAGCATGGCCTCATGAGTGGTGCTGGGTCCGCGCCCAGGATCCGAACCAGTGAAACGCTGGGACTCCAAAGCAGAGCGTGTGAACTTAACCATTTGGCCACAGGGCGGCCCCCTAAGCACCTTCTATTTATTCTGCTAGACCCAGGTGGTGGGTGGAGAAGGAACATAAATATTTTTAATTTAACATAATTAGGCTTATTACTATTTTAAAAACTTTACCATAGAAACTTTCAAACCGGAACAAAAGAGGAGAGTCTAGCAACAATGCAGCCCCGTGGACCCACAACCCAGCCCCCAAACAACTATCAACATATGGCCAATCCTGTTTCGTCTATTACCCCAAACCTGCTGGATTATTGTAGAGCAAAACCCCTATCATTTCATCTGTAAACACTTTAGCATGTATCTCTAAGAGATAATGACTCTTAAAAAAATTGTAATCACAATGCCACCATTATCACACCTACAAAATTAACAATTCGTTAACATAAAATTTCTAGTTGGTGTTCAGAATACCCCTGTTGTCTCATAAATGCCTTTTACATTTGGTTTGTTTGGATCAGGGAATATAAAATATTAAGATGACTTCTCTCCACTCACCAATGTAGTTTATGATTTAAATGGAAAGCCTGCTGTTAATCAGCGAACTGATTGCTCCAGCGATTGCACTGGGGACCTTGGGCAGCTGGCAAAACATCCTACTTTCAAGCAAATCCCGAGGAGGAAGTCCGTAGAGGCTTCTGAAACATAAGGCCCGTGAAATTGAGCCAAAGGAAACAACCCTAAAAGAACAATGAAATGATTTATTGTCTGGCTTCAAGGCAAGTCTTGGAGCCCCTGTTCATTGACTTGAATCGAACAGCAGATTTCCATTTGGGAAGACTGAATTCCCAGTGTCTGCCCACTGCTGTAGTCCCAGCGCCTGGCAAAGTTTCTGACACCTGTCTGAGCTCAGTTCATGTGTGTTTTCTTTGTTCTCCCATTTTCAGTGAGGAGAGCAAGACAGATGTATCCTGGTAAGTTAGATTTCAGTTAGTTAATTCAGGTGTCAGTGCACGTAGTTTGACACAATTTGGTTCAGGTTTCCCTGAGTAAATCATTGTTAGTGGCCGTTACTAAAATGAATTCTGGCAAAACTGTAATTAAAGCCATACTTTACAAGCGAGAGGCAATTGGCAAACAGCGGGAACAGCCAACCTCAGCCCCAAGGAGGTTGGGTTTTCCTGGCAGGCTTCTCCCCAGCAGACCACAAAAGCAGTTCCAAACCAAACAGAGGAGGGAGGCCCTGGCTCCCGGGGATCTGAAAGCAGCAAAAACAACCCGTCCCCTCCGCAAAGCCCTCATTCCAGGGGTGGATCACAAAGGCCACCCCTCATTAACCGGAGAGCAGGCGGAGCCAGGCTTGCTGCTCCTCACTGGTTTGAAATTGCTCGAGGCACTACTGGCAGCTGTGTGCAGTTGTAAGAGAAATTCCTCTGTGACCTGTACATAGTTGCAGATACCATATCTTAATGGTTACTGGTCCCTTGACCCTTGGAGGGCTGCACAGTATACACATAACAAAATATATGAGCCCCCCATGAAGCCCAGAACATAGGCTGGTGCACTGTTGGTCAGGTCTCTTCCCCAAACAAGTAGACAAAGCATAAAATAAGAGGTGAGCATTTGTATAACATTTGACTACGCTTCAAAGCAGTTTTCCATATGATACCTCATTTTCACCTTACAACAGTCCTGTGAGGTAGAGAAGGAGAGAATACTCTTCAGTTTTTAAGATGAGTAAATGGAGGAGCAGGGAATTTCAGAGACTTACCAAGGATCACCCAGTGAGTTAGTGGCAGAATTGGAACAAGAACGCAGAACTCCTGATTCCTGGTATAAATTGCTATTCACATGATTGTGTGTGTGTGTGTGTGTAGGTGTGTGGATGTATTCACTCTGAGGAAGTGACTGTACAAACATACTCACATATGCATGTGCTTTTAATTATCCCTCCCAAATATCTAATAGTCTTTATTTAATGAGATAAATATATTCTTCAGGTAAAAAACAGGGGCTAAGATCCACAGGCAAGGAGTTCTCAGGGACACTGCGGGGTGATGGAAAGAGTCTCAATTAAACAGCCAAGGGATGTGGGTTCTGATCCTGGCTGCGACTCTTTCTTTGTGACCATGGGCAAGTCAGTTGGCTTCTCTGTGCTTCTCAGTCGAATGGGAATGGATAACTACTTGCCCTATTTGTATCCCAGGCGTGAAGTTTAAATGGGAGAAGGGTCAAAGTGCTACGTGACTGCAAACCAATAGCGGATTTCCATAGTTCAGATTTTCATGTAGCTGTGGTCTGGACCCTAGTGCGGAGCCCAGCAACCATCCCCAGGCCCTTCTCACGCAGATCTTGCTTCAGGATACCATTAGGTGATTGGGACTGCTCCAGGGCTACCTGAAGTAAAACCTCAGCCCCCTCCGCTTTCCCTATGGGACAAGGCAATCAGTGGCTGAGAGCCTGGCACTCTATCCAGTGGCCTGAGGCCACCTGGAGATTTGTTGAAGGTGATCCTCCACAAAGCGTCTGGATAGGGGAATGTTAGAAAGGACCTAGTAATTAAGAAGAGAGGAAAAGTATTCTTGTGGCTGTTGATTAGTTTGCTAGCTGATGCCACCACTGCTACCACTCAGAGGTGTGTGTGGGCGTATGAGAGAAAAAGCATGTTCCCAGCAGCCAATGCGATAAGACCTTAGACCATCTAACATGGCTGTATTCTAATTTACCCATTAGTCATCACTACTTAAACAATTTTCTTCTAACCTTTTTTTTTTTTGTACATTAATCCATCCATTCATTAACCCAACTTCTCTTTTCATTTTCAGTTTGGGCTTCCTGTAGACACCCTTTTCCTGCGCAACAGAGCCGGGCCTCCCTTTCTCTAATTCCCCTTTAACACGTGTGGGGGGCACACAACCCGTGTCCTCCTGTCTCTTCCTGCCAAGGTTTATAGAAGCCTGAGAGTCTGAGGATGGCGCCTGGCCTCTGGTCAAGAAGCCAGCAGCCACATGGTTTGGAGATGCATTGTGCATCCCAGTTCCCCTCCCAGCACCCCCAGCCACTGCCCCCCATCTTTGCCAGACTGTAAGACATTCAGGGCTCCCATCTGCTACTTGCCACCACCAGCTTGCCCGTTTGAACCCTTATTGCTGCTTGTCTCCCTAAGGTATCTGCATCCACCACGGCTGGGTAAGCACCAGTCGGCAGGGCTTTCCCCTTCAGGCTCCTGCACCCGGGCACGGGGCTTCCCTGACAGCACTCCCCCGGACAGGAGCCGCAGCCCCTTCTCAGAGGGCTCAAAAGGAGATCCTGTGGTAACTTTTCCTTCGGGACACCCATCCCAGCCCTTTCCAGTTTTGATTCACTCAAAGTAGCTGCACTCAAGCTGTGTTAAAAATCTGGAATGAGTTTATTTACTCCAAGCCCTTCCCAGAAGATACCACTGCTGAAGAAAATGGCATAAGTTTCCCCTCTTTATAATTCTGGGTACCCCACAGATTCAGAAGGGAGAATAAACCTGACTGTTATTACCAGCCTAGTGTCTTGAATGGTAGACTTCTGGAAATCTTCTGAGATGTCTCGGCATCTCCTCTGTAATTTCTCTTTGGGCTCCACACCATCCCAGTGAGGCAGGGCCAACAGCAGGTGTGATAATCCCACGTCATAAACTGCCCCACTGAGCAGTCAAAGAGTCGGTGTTTTCAGTTTTGCTCTGATGAGCCTTCCAGTCTGTTTAATTGGTAAATGTGATGATGAGTTTTCATCTGCATTTTGCACGTGTCCGCCAGTAAGAAGAGGTGAGAGCATCAGCTGGAGAGGAGAAACAAGGTGTTGTACCTTGAAAGGTCCCCACCTTTACCTCCAGGCTGAGGATTTGATATTTTAAAAATCTTCCAGCCCTAGTTTTTATAATGGGGCCCATTCGATAGTGGCTTTGGGAACCCCTTTGAAGTAGAGAGCCCCCCATTGTCAGGGCCACGAGGCACAGTGGCCTGTGGTGTTTGGCCAGTAGAGAGGGAGAGCTGGAGGTGACCTGGCGATGATCTGTGGCTAACATGCCGTTTCTCTGCCCTTCCTTTGCAGTAATCCATGGCTGTGTACTGAATAGTATTCCCCGCTACAGCTGGACTGGACTCCACTTAGCCTTTTAAGCCAAGGTTCTTATTTTAACCGACAGCTTTCCTTTGGGGTGCCAGGCAGCCGAGCCCCCAGCCCCTGCCACATACTTTCCCTTCAAGCCCCACTTCTTTTGAGTTCTGCCTCCCAGTCCCACTGGCGCTGACCATGAGCTTCTTCTTTTTTATTTCTTTGAGGTTTTTTTGGTCACTTTCTTTCAAAACGCACCAACGAGGCTAAGCCAAATTTTCAGGCCTTTTTGAAGCATTGAGAATGGGGAGGGGGTTTCTCTCTTCAACAATAGATAATAATAGGAAGCGAAAAGTATAAAGAATGCACAGCAGACATGCACACACTTTATCTTTTCTTGTTGGCAAAGCAAGAGGGCAGTTTTGATGAGATATATTGTTTGGGGAGTCGCTGATTGGTTAACGGCCAGAAGCAAGTGATGCTGCCGAAGCACAAGCTAGTTTCTTGAGAAAATCCAAGTCTCAGAGTGCAGCATTTTAGGAGACCCTGTGCTTGGAGGTTTAAAAAACAAACATGGCTACTCAGCTAGTAGCTCAGAAAGATGCTAAGTTTGGGCTGTCAGGTCTCCTTGAGCAAGGCATCTTATTTGCAGTTTTGATGTTTCTATGGCCAGTTTCTCTGCTGCTTCCCAAGAATCCCAAACTTAAACAACCAACTGGTCTCCATCCCCCCCCCCCCCGAATAATTATTAGCATTACAATTAGGCCCCCTCATTTGCATTTGTTTGCAGATTAACTACTTGAGGCTTGAGGCGCTCTGTAAACTTCAAAAGAATGAGAGCCACCAGCCTTCGAGAGACCTTCAGGGACTAGGCAGGAATTTTGTATTAAGGGAGAAATTTGGTCTGTAGAACAGATATGACCCACTTTTTTCGGAAGAGGAAATTGAAGCCCAGAGAAGTGAAGGGACTTGCCGGAAGTCCCCGTGCTGTTTTGTGGCAAAAGCCAGGTTAGGTTCACGAAGTCTGTCCTACTCCGATCTATTTCACAAATGGATCCAATCTGTGCATATATGTTCCTGGAGACAAGGTCTTTTGATGGTCGGAGAAAGAGAGTAGTTAGTATTAGAGGGCCTTTGAGGGGTTTGTTCCTATAGAAAAATACCTGGGAATGAGTGGGGAGGGGCGGGCACAGCCGAAGACTCCAGGCCAGCTCCTGAACTGAGCGTTTCTGCTGACGATAGGAGTCACCAGGCACCTGTTAGCCCGTCAGCTTTCCTGGAAGTCTGGAATGGGGCCCAGGCATGCATATGTTTAACAGTGTCCTAGAGGAGCCTTGTAATCAAGGAAGTTTGGTAGACAAAAATCTAACCTGTGAGTGAACATGAGATCCTTAGAAAGTCAACCAAGGCTATTAAAAGAATTGAAATGCTTATTTTATTGGGTGGCTTTCCTCAGTGTAGACAGAAAGATTTTTCTCCTTCAGTGAAAAGGCTTTTTAATTAGTACAATTGTTACTATTTTTAAAAAATATCCTAAGTACTCTGTTTACTTCCGGTGAAACAAAACCAGTCATTAGAAATGGTCTGTGCTTTTATTTTCCCAAACTGGAATAGAACGGCTTTCCTGAAAAATCCCCATGTGTACACACACACACACACACACACACACACACACACACACACACAGAGCCCCCATTTCTCTTAAGCCAAGAAGTTTGCTGTTCCCAGCTGCAGGGCAGATCACTTTTGTTTTTGTTTTTGTTTCTTTGTCTTAATCATTTGGCATTTACCCGTGGCTGTTAATATGTGCTTGTTTTTAATTAAAACAAGAAGCTTTAAACCTGTGTGTCGTGTTCTTAAAACCTTCTCCGCAGATTTCCCAATGGTGATGGTCGTCAGTGAGCCCATTTCTAACCTGTCTTCTGCAAGTATAGTCTTTGCTACCTCACACTGCCCACTCCCCTTGCCCTGTCTTCCTTTGAATGTCCTTTCTCTTTGGCTAATTTCATGTTTTCTTTCTCTTTCTCTCTCCCTCTCCAGCTTTTTTTAATCTTGTCTTCAGCAGCTGCACTAAGTCTAAAGGAGAAGACTGCCATTATAGAAGAGTTAGGGTTCCATATTGTCTCAAACCAGAAATCAACCAATCCCCTCCCCCCCAACTGCGTGCACACACACACACACACACACACCACATACTCAACAAGTTTTCATGTGTCCCTGTGTCCAGGCAAGAAGCTCTCTCCTGACTTACATGGTATTTTAAATAGAAGTGTCTTGTCCTAACCTAACAAGGCAGGAAAAGAACCGTCAGAGCTGGAGAATGGACCAAATGTAACCTCAGAGAGACAACTGCAGGACGACTCACCCGAGTGTAAGTGACTGGGGCAGGAGACCTCAGCTGTGGGTGTGGAAGTGCTGTTCACAAGTTTTCGTTTGAGTTTTCTGTTTTTCTTTTTAAACACCAATTCTCCGGTTCACTGGGTTGACTGTCTACGGCCACTATTAAACATTTCTGAATTTGGAAGAGAAAGTCAAGTGACGTTTGTATCTTCAGAATTCACAGACCTCCTGCAGAACCCCAGCAAGGGGAAAACGGATCCACTAACACTCAGGTGGAGAAGGGAGAGACGAGAGGGGGGTTTAAGCTTAGTGAGAGCAAAGTTACTCCGTGCAACCTTCCGAGGCCAGTTGGGGTTTTGAGAGAAGTTTCTGCTCAACCTGGGATTTGGAGGGAGAGCTTTGATGTTGATAAATCTGCCTTGAATTCACTGGTTTAACTTGCATCAAAATACCATATGAGTGTGTCCATTCCCATATATCCTTATGAACATCGCCATTCCACTGTCCAGTCTCTTGAGAGAGCCTCTTTGCATGTTTTCCAGAATCTGTGTTTGTTTTTCCTTTCTTCTCCTTTGTTCTTTTTGCTCAAAGGTGTGACCAGTCACTGGCCCTTCGGGGCTTTCATTCGCCAGGAGAAACATCCCGAAACCAGCACTGTTTCGCTTGATACCTTTCTAATGTCCATGTCAATTTTCAATAAAATTCAAAGAAATGCTCAATGGCTGTGTGATCTGATCTTAAATCATTAGGTGATCCTCAGGGTTTGCCGTAGGAGGAGTGGGTGGTTGCCTTCCAAGTGGGTGACTTGAGGGGCTCAGGAGGGTGCGATCAGCCCATATGCAATCTTCCCAGGTGTGCTGCGGTGCCCTCCCCCTTCCTCCATCTGGGTCTGAAATTCCCATGGGGCGGGCTGGAGGGTGGACAGGAAGTCCTCTGCTTTTCTTCTATTAGCATAGATTTAACTGATCCCTTGAGCTCATTATCATCTAAGATAATAGTTGGAGGAAGTGGAGTGCCAGATCCTACAGAACAAGATTTGGGTGAGTTTTAAATTCCGAGAGAAAAAGAGCTCTATGCTGCGTGTCTTCTCTCATTTAATCCTGTGGTGTGAGCATCGCGAAAATTCATTGATACAACTGTTCTTTATGACTCGAAAAGCATTCTACAGATAGCAAATAGTATTTTGTGTCCTGGGTCTGCCAGAAAGGGAAGCCTCCTGCCCCGCCCCAGCCCCCAGCATTAAAGTGGACAAGAGGGAGTGTGATCAGTTTTCATAATTATAGTTGCGGTCAAGGTGGGGTTTCCTTCCCTCGGCTTCATTTCCCGAATGGCCAGATGCTGGAGACAGGAGAGTGGTCCGTATCCTCTGCGTACGGAGGCCTGGAGGCCTCTGAAAAAGTCCCAGAGAAACAACTCTGGCCTGCATCTGCGCAGCTCGAACACTAGGGGGCAGCCGAGCGAGCCAACCATCGCCTGTGACGTCACTGAGCAGCGGTAGGCACTGAGGTGCGGAAAAATACAGGCTCAGAACGCAGAGAGTCTTACTAGGCGTGTGTGTTGTGGGGCAAGTTGAGTTAAAAACTTCTCTGTAAAAAGAGAATATCAGTAACTCCCTTGCAGGGTGATTGTGAAGGCTACATGAGCTAACGTAAATTAAAGAGCTGGGTGCTCAACAAACAGTATCGCTTATTAAGGATGAAACTTCCCCTTTACTAGAAGTATCTTAGATTCCTCTAATTCACGGTTGGTTTCCCAACTTCAGCACTACTGACATTTGAAGCCAGATAATTTTTTGTTTTGGAGGTTGGCCTGTGCATTGGTTCATCTCTACCCACTAGATGTCAGTAGCACACCACCCCAATTGTAACAACCAAAAATGACTCCAGACATTGCCAAAAGTCTCCTGGAGGGCAAAATCGCCCCATGTTGAGCACCATTGCTCTAGGCCAGGGGTCAGAAATTTTTTTCTGTAAAGGGCAAGCTGGTAAATATTTTAGGCTTTGTGGGCCATATAGTTTCTGCAACTATTCAACTCTTACTATAGCACAAAAGCAGCCATAGGTAATATGTAAAAGCATGAGAGTGGTTGTGTGCCAATAAACCTTTATTTATGGACACTGAGATTTGAAAATCATATGTGAATTTCATTTTCACATGTCTTGAATGATTATTCTTTTGGTTTTTTTCAACCATTAAAAAAATGTAAAAACCATTCTTAGCATGAAGGGTCACACAAATACAGGCGGTGGGACGAGATTTGGCCTGAGGGCCAGATTTGGCCTGAGGGCCATAGTTTGCTGACCCTACCTCTGATGCATTTTAGTGCTGGTGGATGCATCATCGAGACTAAAGGTGTTAGAACTGACTGGCCGATCAAAAGAAATCAGAAATGAAGACAAATGTCTGAAGTTTTAATGCAAATTAGGGGGGAGAATGGGTTTGATTAAAATTTGCATACAGTTTCGCTAGAGCGTATGTGGGGGCAGGGGCCTGCTGTGGCGGTGAAAGCCTGCTCCTGGGGCCTTGCTGAGAAGGTGAGAGAATACCAACTGCTTCTAGGGAGAGAGCTGGGCCTCTGATACCTTCAAAAAGGCCAAGCAACCGGGGCTCCCATTGTCAGCACTGAGGTAAAGCAGTGTCCTCTCCTTTTTGAAAGGTCCTCATTCAGGAGATTCATCTTTTGCGATAAGCGCAGCTTTCTTGCAAGGCCATTGTGTTAAAATGTGGCCACCCCTGGAAAGAGTTCCGCATTAGAACAGTAATACTTCACAGTCGCTTTGCCACCTGGACCTACCTTCCATCGGTGTCCATCCAGGTCCTGCGCTACCTCTCAAAGTCCCTGCCCTGGGCTCAATACCTATAAAAATTATACGTATATCTGTTATGTATAGGATTAGGGACAAACTCCTTATCTTGGTTTTGGGCTTAAATTATGTTTCCTTAATCAAATGATAAGGGTATATTTAACACTTCCCGTGGGTTTGGCCCAGTGCCCTGTGCTATGGGAGACACTATTGCATGAGATCTACTTAGACACTGCTCTTGAGGAACTTACACACTGGCCCTATCTTATCTACTCAACCATATTTTCCAATACTTCCTAATAACCAGTCTCTGTTCCAGTCCCTTCAGTCTCTGCACAGGCCTCTCCCTGAGTTACACAAACTACTTATTGACATTGTCCAAAATATCCTCTACTGATTTAAACCCTGACTTCCAGGCTCAGGATGCACCTTCTCCCTGAAGCCTATCTTGACTCCATCCACCTATCCTGATCTCTTCTCCATTTTTGAACTTCCTAGTTGAACTTTTATATTATTTTCTGCTTCCCTCCTCAAGAGATGTAAAGCTTTCTAAGGGTAGGAACATCATTCACAGCCCTCCAGGGAGTCCGGGAAAGTGCTGGACACACAAGAAAAAGTGATTAAGAGATCGCTAGATTGAGATTCTTCACCAATGTAGGGAGCTATTGCACTTTTCAAACATTTAATTTTGAAATTAAGTTATAAGAATTGTACAAAGTATACCCACATGCTCTTGACTCAGATTCACCAATTGATAACATTTTGCCCCATTCAGGCCCTTTCTCTGTGTGTGTGTGTGTGTGTATACACAGATAGACAGACATAGTTTTTCTAAATCATTTGAAGGTAATTTGCATGTATCATGGCCCTTTACCTATAAATATTCCAGTGGGTATTTCCTATAATAAGGCTGTTCTCTTACATAACCACAGACAGTTAACTTCTGTAAATTTAACATTGTTAGAATACTTTAACCTATTGGATAATATGCTTTATTGCATTTTTTTCTTGCCGTTTAAGATTTGCTCTAGGATCACATTGTATCCTGTCTCTTTAGTCTCCTTTAATCTGGAACAGCCTTTCTTTGTCTTTTATGACATTGATATTTTTGAAGTCCCATTTAAAAAATAGATTGTTTTCGGGGCTGGCTCAGTGGCCGAGTGGTTAAGTTTGCGCACTCCGCTGCGGCGGTCCAGGGTTTCTCTGGTTCGTATCCTGGGCGCGGACATGGCTCATCAGGCCACGCTGAGGTAGTGTCCCACGTGCCACAACTAGAAGGACCCACAACTAAAATATACAACTATGTACTGGGGGATTTGGGGAGAAAAAGCAGAAAGAAAAGAAAAAGAAGATTGACAACAGTTGTTAGCTCAGGTGCCAATCTTTAAAAAAAAATAGATTGTTTTCATTTTAGGTCAAGGTCTTGCCCAATTTCTCCACTACATAATTGCTGGAGGCTTTTTTCTTCTTTGTTACTAATAAACAATCTGTGGGGAGAAACTATAAGTCCTTGCAAATATCCTACTCCTCATCAAAAATTTCCCCTAGATTTAACATCTATTTATAATTCTTGCCGGAACCAATTTACAAAATGATGATTTTCCAACTCCAGCAGTCCCTTCGTATTTACCAGTCAGCACATCGTATTCTTTTGTAAGCAAAGGCCCTCCCTTCTCCCTGATTATTTCCTTATCTACTTAGTGTCACTGTGGACTTATGGCTTCCTATTTTTTCAGTAGTTCATTATCGTTCTAATAATTTTGGTGCTAAAATTACCAAGATTTGGCCAGTGGGAGCTCCTAGCTACTGCTTTTAAATCCACTAGTAAACATTCCTCAAGAGGATATTGTAGTGCAGAGCAGTCTGGCCAAGAACTTTTGGTGATCTAATTTCTGGGATAGTTTATGGGGGTGGTGCTTAGCCAGGCTGCAGGTTTTCCTCCTTTCATCACTCATTGACTCCCCAGTAAGAAAAGGCAGAGAAGGAAGCTCAGAGCTGTCAGCGTGTGTGTGTGTGTGTGTGTGTGTGTGTGTGTGTGTGTGTGTAGTGTAAAGGCAGTGGCAAGAGCCTGTGTTAGAATAGAGAAAGATGATGGAGGGGAGGAGGATGGAGACTACAGGAGGTTTCTGGATTGTTTTAGGGTTACAATGGCCACCTTTATCATCACTCCCTCCTCCACTTCTCTTCAACCATTATTCAGATAATCTACTTCTGCTTAGCGGTTTCAATTCCTGCTCACTGAGAAATCATCTGTGACTTCTGAGCAGGGAATGGGGTGAGAGAGGTTGGCTGAGGGATTTTTCAATCAGAAGGATTACCAGGGAAAGAAGGTCATGGAGAATCATGCAAATTTTTGTTTTGTTTTCTAGAGGTGAAACTCTTTATTCCATAGTGGGAGTTACAAATGGAATCCAGTTATGGCTGTTACAGAGCAAATGGCCTGACTTTCATTTTGTAACCCAAGTTCAAAAGTCAGGTTGCAATTTTTTGTTCCTATGTGATGGAAAAATTTCCATCTAAGCTGAGGGGAAGTAGTTTTTATTTTCTCAAATATTTTTCTAGGAAAGATGTGTATTGATTACAATGCAGATTTCCATGAAGGTTGGCAGCTTAGGCTGAAATTAATCCAACAGTATAACAAATCAGCTTAAAATGTAGGCTCCAAGAAAATGAATTTCACAAGGTTGGGACAATGGGAAGAGACTGCATCGATTCAATCATTTATTTAATTCAACAAGTACCTATGGACTGCCTACAGGAGCCAGGTGTAGGTACTAAAAGCAAGATACATGTGTTCCCTGTTCTCATGGAGCTGACACTTGGGGGGGGCAAAGTATAAAAAAAAGTTCAAAAGGTGATACATGCTGTGAAGAAAATAAATAAAACAGGGCAATACGGCGGCAAATGACTGGGGG